CCCCGCCACACCCCCAGCTGCTCTGCCCCAGGTGTCCCCAAGGCAGCAGCTGCTGAAAATGACCAGTGGCTGACTACAGGAAGCCCCTGCCCCGGGCTTCCTGGAATCAGCCGCTGATCAGTTTCAGCAGCAGCTGACTTGGGGATGCTTGGGGTTCTTAAGTTGAATCTGTATGCAAGTCAGAACTGGCGTCCAGATTCAGCCATGTTGAAACTGATCAGTTTCAGCAGCGGCTGAATCTGGACGCCAGTTCCGACTTACATACAGATTCAACTTAAGAACAAACCTACAGTCCCTATCTTGTACGTAACCCGGGGACTGCCTGCACAGAAATTTTGTCATGAAATCAACACCACTTCAAAGGTCTTTCGATTAGGCTCTATTTTTTTCTTTTTATGGACACAACTTCCAGACAGACACATACACAAGCATGCCTCTATCTGTATAATTTCTCTATAATCAGACTACACATTAGGTTCATGACAAACCCTAGAGTCCTCTGAGACCCCCAGAGATCACACGTCTAGAAACAGATGCCCTGGAACATAGACAAAGGGTTACTGGAACTTCTAGGTACTTCCTGTTCCTATTTAGAATGTGAGTAATAGTTATGATTCTTCTCCCCTCCCCAATTCATTTTAGTTGACATTCGAATTTATCCAGTCATTCTAGTGACCTTTCAGAGGGAGCAAATTTGTCATCTTTCAAATTTTGCATAGTCTCCATGGCAGTCTGCAACCTGTAACATGCTTCCCTAGAGGTTGCTCATTAGAATACTGTAGCACTTACCAACAATTACCAGATACAAAATTCTTCCAATATTTTTCTCCTAACCACTGTGCCAAACCCTCCTAGATCTCCTTACCACAGTTAGAAATATGTGATCCTCCCTGACATTTTGTCAAATCTTCCAAGGCATCTTACCATCAAAAGTACTTATATATAATATATTCAAGTGCAATTACAGTAAAACTCCAGTTGTGATTACTGCATCAAATACAGCCTTCAGAAAATTCTGCCAAGACCAAGAACTCAAGACTTCTTCACTATCATGATCATGCAAAGGCATGAGAAACGCATATTGAAATGCTTTCATGTGGCAGTAGGCAAAATGGCACCACTGATCAGCTATTTTTTTTAGCCATACCCATCCTTCATAGCCACAATTGTTTGTAGGTATTTTCAAAAGTGTATGAAACGTGATGTCCTGATTATCTAATTTTTGCAATTTCATATGGTTAGAATTTTTTAATATATAAAAATTGCCTCATTTAAAAAAAATGTTTGTAAGGAGGATTCCTGAAGAGACTATTTCCCTTTTGTTCAAACCTCCTTTATATGTAGCCCTCACATCCTAGCCAGAATATACCTGTGGCTACTGAGTTAGGTTTGGATAATTGTGAACCTCCAGAAATGTGCTGGTAGTCTGGGGCCACCAGTAAGTCAGTGCATGTAGGATTTATCTGTTCTTTCAATATAGTGTCTGAATCCAAGTGCCTTGAGATAAACTGTTTGCCCACTGAGACTGCCTTATATGAAGCTACGTTATGGACACCACAAAAACACTTCTTTGGGTCAAGATAATGTACCTATAACTTGATTCTTGTTCCTAACTGCAGGATTCTTTTCTGACAGATGAAGAACGTGTAAGAACCAGTCCTCTGACAGAAAACCTCTGAATTGAGCTGTGTCTAGTAGGGTCCATCTGTACTTTAGAGAACAAACTGGGACTTTGTGGCACCATTATGATAAGTGCCCAATACTGTGATGGTGCCACATACACTCTTGCTTGGAGTTGTCCTTGAATAACCAATCACGGAAAAAGCAAAATATTCCTCCTCATCCTGCACAGGAAAAATGCTATGACCCTAAGGCATTCCGTAAACAAAGGAACATAAGTACTGTTACAACTATCTTTTGTAAAAAGAAGGATGACTAAGTTGTTGCTAGACTTCCTGATGCAGGATTCTGGCTTCTTTTTCCACTGCCAGGAGTATCTATTTCACTAATTACTGGAAGCCTCCGTGAAGCCATCTAGTTCTCACAAAACTATGGATGAACGGTAGAGATTGCCAAAACCTAGGGAATAAATTCTAGGATTCTAATGTCAACAGGATATACTGATGAGATAGCAATGTTGTCCTGTCAGGCACTGGATGGCCATCAAGCTCTGCACCAAAGGCAGATCACGGTTGTGACTGAGCTGGAGGGATCTCTTGTTGCATCTCCACATTACATTCTTCTTTGGCTGATTATGCTTCTTAACCTCCTCTGTGCACTTAGCACAAGTGACTGCCTTTAGCCTGGAGCTTAGCCTGACAGGGAGCAGTAGCACATATTTCCTTTAGCTTTAACAGGTTTGTCAGCCACCAAATAAGTAAGTGTCCCTCAAGTCAGAAAAAAAGACTAAAAACTATGACGGGGAAAAACCTTTGCACTGAAAACCTGAAATTTTGGTAAAGACTCAAGTTTTAAATTGGAAAACATTATTCTTGTTCAGAGAAGAAGAAATTCTTGCTGCCCACTCTCAGTGCAGGCAGGAAAACTAGCAGAGAATACAGCAACTCTGGGTCTGTTGGCTCTTTTTCAGCTTAAAACGTTGCTTAGACATCACTGAGGATGTACGAGTTCTCCATCAATTAGGATATAAATCAGGATGTAAAGTTCTTCGCCATCACACAAAGCAATGTGCTAGATTCTGCAGCCATGATTTTAACAAAGGCTAATGATTCTGCTTGTCCCATTTTCACAATGGACCATACTTTTTTTCAGACAATCAGACATTTTAAAAGTATCCCAACAGTTGGTGACCCCAAAATTGTGACACCAAATTACTAACCACTTGAAAATCTTGGTGTGTGATTCTACTTCTGGGGAAATGTGTTACAACTTTTACTGCAATTTTTGGTCAGTGCTTTATCGTTATGAGAATTGTGGACGAAGATACAAACGTGAAAATCTATCAACATGTGTATCTTTGGATAACTTTCTATCCAAAGCTGTGCTCTCATACTACAGATGCAGTTCATTAAAATAAAAATTAGCCCTGTGATAAGTTACTTCAATTTTAAATGCCATTTTTATTTCAGAATTACACTTAGCGTACGGGAAGTGTATTTTAACATTTCTTACATTTTATAATTAGAGTTTTTATACTCCTACTTGAGTCTATGGACAGACTGGGGCACAGTGAATTATTCTTTTATCAAATTAATTATTAAAGAACATCAGGAATTCAAATGGGCTTCAGGAGTTTGTTTCACTAATGGGTCAGAAATCTCCTCACTTTACTGCTCAATTGATGAAGTTCCAACCTGGATAAACATCTGAGATTTTAAATTTTCTATTGCAGAAGAAAAGGCCAAAACTGTAATTTGACATATAATACTTAGCCTGTTTCTTCTTCAGCAATTCCACATTTATGCAATATTTGCATTTGCGATAAGAGCTTAAAAGAAAAATTCATTCACAAACATACCAATTTTTCAAAGGGGTTTTTATAGTAGGTGAGATTTGTGTGTCAACAGATCATGGTAATGTTGCATTCTCTTATTATTTTATAGATATTTCACTCTTTTTGTTAAGTAATTATTTCCTGTATTCATAAAGGGTATCATAGCTCTGGCTCTTTTAGATTGTCACAAAACACTAGTCTGCCCAATGATTTTAAAAACAAATGATTTATCCTGTGTTTGAGAGCACATTTATTTTGTAATGAGGAAAATACAACATGTTTTGCTTTGTATTGCTTTTCAAGACTGGAAATTATACAGAGTAAGTAAAAGGTAGAATCTATTTCCCTTTCCCACTCTAAGACCTTCTATCTGGGCCAGACTTTGATATTTGCCCCTTGGCTGAGAATCCGCATATCCAACTTCACACTTAGCTGCAGTGAAGTAGCCCTGCAGGCAGGCCAACTTCAACGAATGAGGCTTCACTGCTGCACTCGGCATCTCCTAATCAGCTACCATGTGAAATGCAAATTCAGACAGTCTGAAAATTAGTCAAGAAGAATAGAGGATGAGGATGCCGATATGTGAAATATTCATGCGCTTCATGGAAAAAGGAAGACAGCATGAATGACACAACAAAGAACGGCCCCTGACATTTTTGCTATCATTCTGCATTACTGTTCACACCCTACTGTATTTCTAGACCTCCAGTTCTGAAGTTGGTAATATGAACTGCCATATTTGTATCCTACAAAAATAACAATTAAATCTGGCCAATATAAAACAATTAATTGGAAAGCCACAGATATACTGCACAAACTCCATAAAGACTAGATCACCATTGCAACCTTTAAAAAGAAAATTAGAATGCCTTTATGACGTCTAATTTTATTCACAAAGGAAAAAAATTGTTCCCATAAATATGACAAAACAAAAAAAACTGGACAGCAATCTTTTATTAATAGTCCCTATCTCTGAAAACAATAGAGTCAAGATGCAGAATTACAAATTCCATTCTTTAAGCAAAGTAGCACAAAGCTTCATGTTTATTAAAAATATTTCAGATATAGTGTTTATATGCATTTTCAACATAATCTTTAATTCATGGAGACTGAATTAAATTAGAATTAGTTGCTAATACCTACCTCTTTGGTTTGTCGTTTTTATCACTTTGCCCCATTTATTTCAAAGTGGGAAAGTATTTCAATATTGGCATTTCAGAACGTTAACAAATACACATTTATATTTTCTCATGTCAGTTCCTGATGGTTTAGAAAAAATATTTGCATTTATTTTACCCTCTCCTTTTGCTTTTTTCCCTTTTAATGCCTTTTAAATACAAAACAAAATCCGGTGCACTGATGCCAGTGAAAAACTATTAGCACTGCCCTGAGCCAGATATCATGGGGCATATTCTTGCTATGCTTTTGCAACCTTCACTTGAGAATCACCTGTTACTACAAACATTGGCCACTCCCCTTTGAAGAGTGCCAACTGTGTGGTAATAGAGATAAATAAGAAATCATGTGGGGACCAAAACTCGTTTTTACTAGCAATTTAATCTACATTAATTTTTTATCTAAATCTCTACAGAAAGACTAGTTCACCAAGTTATTGTGTCACATAATCCCATAAAACTGTGCTTTTAGAAGCATAGAATATAAATTTTATGTTCAATCCCATTACAAATTGCAGCATGTACTGTGTATTCTGAAAAAGACTACTGTGTTGATCATACTTACAATTTTTTTTTAAAATTCACCACATAATATAGAGAATGAGTGACCCTTGGTTAACAGATCAAAGAAATAAAGGGGGAAATAACATGCTCCCTGAACCAGTAAACACCAATATTTTTGAAGCGGTACCAGAAATATCATCATTGACATTAACATTTGGTCATGTCCAACACCACAGGTAAACACATGAGACAGATCCTTATATGGGATAAACTAGTATATTTCCATGATTTCCACTGATTGTGCCAGTTTGCATAAACTGAGGTTCTGGTTCATGGGAAGGACAATTACTTACTTCTTCTGAATAGTGATCTGAAGGAAGTGGTGGATAGTCACACTGTTCTATCTTCTTACACAGAGAGTACAAGTTCATTTTGTCACCATAAAAGGGACTCTGAAGTGCAGCCATCTATTTAAGAAAATAACATAGTTAGACATACACTGATTTTTTTAAAAAGGAACATTTTGCTGGAAAATCTATTTCAATGGTAAGATTGCATACCAACGTCTGAATGACTGCTCTGTGTACAGCACTAATGCAAAAGTTCTAAAATGGTTAGTATAAACCTGTGTGCTTACTTAACGAAAAGACTAATTTATATGCAACACTGATCATAACAACACTTATGATGTTATAACGGTTTATAATCCATAATTTAGCATAAGTAAAATTCAATTATTGGACAAAGTTTATGCTATTAGGGTAAGGTCTCCCATGCTCCCAATCCAAAGACAAAATAAAACAATGGCATTTATTTCACAATTGTTGAAAACAATTACATATCCTATTTAATTGGAAAAAAATATATGATTTAAAGGAGCAATTTCCTTTAAAAATATCTGATAGCAGTAGTTGCTTTGGAATGCTATTTAGATACCTTATTACAGTTTAAAAATTAAGAAAATGCTACATAATGTTATTTCACATAAAATACTTTGGAAAAAAAAGACAGTAATATTCAAAAAAAATGTAGCCTGAATTCTATTAAAAAAGCAGCTTGCAATGTATTAGAGATACATCCTGTAGCAGTAATTTAAAGATTTCAAAGAAAAACACAATCTGCAGGTATCAGCACAATTTTCATGAATAACCAACAAGCATTTTTTGGGGGGAAAATATAGTTAAAGAAATGAGCAACTTAAAAATGACATTAGTGAACATAATCTTAATTTTAAGATAGTACTATAACTTGACACTTAAAGTGTAAACACTGTGGTTAGCAGGATTACTAACTTAAAAAAATCATTTAAAGTCTCTGCATTCTGTTCAAAACCTTCTAACTGTTTGAACCGTAGCAACGTGAAAGCTGCTCTGAGCGCAATGCTGCCCCAAAGTCAGTCACCCTTTTCTACATGTGCTAATAAGTTTGATTTTGGAAGGACAATGTGTACATTCCCCAGACATGCAGAGTGTGTGTGAAACACGCTAGTCCATGCTGTGCTACTGAGTGAGCTTCAGCAGGGACAGGACAAGCTGAAAATGGCTCTCATCTGTCTTATGGTCCTCCAGATATATCTTTAACTCTTTCATGGCCTAAGCATTGTTGATAACGGAAATTACAGGCCATACATATGACGAGAAAAATTAGAAATATTAATTTGATATATTTTCTTTATATTTTATATAAAACCTAATATAGTTTTATATATTAATTTCATATTAACTTAAAATAAAAATACTATATTTTAAACACTTCCAAAATAAATATAAGACTGCACCCAAGAAAAATAATTCTAGAGACAGTGTAATAGCTCTCCGAATATTTTATCTTTAAAATAAATGTTAAAAAAATGCAGCCTTAAAAAAGAAAAAACAACTGCAAAATCCATACACATTCAGAAATTCTAAATAAATGCACTAGGTGTTCATTAAAAAGTACTTTTGTTTGAATGCTGCAGTGTTAAAAAAAAAAATCTGAATGTCCCCTAAGGAGTTAAAAAAGGAATACTATATTTTCATGCATCTCCTGCTTTGACAGATGAAAAATGTCAACTGTCCTGTTTTTATTTTCAAGCTTTTGCACTATTCATCTGGTTCATTAGTGCATCTCGCTGCTGCCCCTGACAGCTGCTCGCCCTCTCCTCCCAGCAGCTGAATTTTTCAGGCTAATTTGATCCTCCACACTGAGACGATCGCTAGAATGATTGACTTGCTCCCTGACCTCCAGGGTCTGACTTTCCTGATTAGTATTCTGAGGGTGGTTGAGGGACGAAAGCCCACTGTCTGTCTTTGGGGCTGGTGGCAGCTCTCTTTTTTTTTGAACTGTAAGCCACCAACCTACAACCCTATAAGGATGCAATTGCTGCGCTGAACAATAAAAGGAAATGTGTAAAACCTACTTTTCCATGTAAAGGTCCATGTAGCAAAAGCACAGCATCTTGATTTTAATTAGTAAAGTCTACTTTGTTGCATATCAATTAAAACTGCAGTGGTAGTGTTTTTGAGGTTTCAGGAATATTTGAAAGTCAAATTTTTAGAGTCTAAAACATGCTTTGAAAAACCTTAGTAGCCATGCAGTATTAATATTTATTATTAAATAGTAACCTTTTGGTAGGACAGGATACAAAATAATACAATGTGATATTACCTTAATCTAATTTCCTATATTTTAAATATTAAATCAAATTAAAACATAACTGAGAGGAGGTTTAGTAGAATATAAATTAGACCTATATTGAGAGGTCATGAATATGCCAGAATTTTCCCAAGCTGGAGAATTTTCAGAAAATATATTAACTATGAAATTAGCACAATAAACACTTTTAAATGCAAATGATACACAAAACATGTAGCACGGTAACTGAGGGAACAACAAGATTTAGTTAGCTTTAAAACTGTTTTGTTTTGATGAATGATTTAATTAGCGCATGCAACAAGCCTAAAAGTGGACCGGTACCCCTTATAAAAGAAGGAAAACTTCAGAACTGAAAAGGTAGCATGCAACAGTTATTAAACCTTTTTTTTAGGTCTCCAGGTCTTCTGTTTTATGCTATAGAATCAACAACTGAATAGATATGATTGGGGGAAATCTGCTTACTGGGAAAATTGCACTGATATTCAAATATCAAAGTCCATAACTTGAAATATATTTTAGAAGATTTTTAGATACAGCACAATTAAAAGATACATTTTAATATAGGAAATAGAACAACTATTTTGTTCTCTACATGTCTTATTTAAATATCATCCTGGTAAAACTTTTCAAACCACAAGTAGTAATTTATTGCCATATGGAAATTCTAAAAATCATGAGGAAAAATGTTTAAACAGGTATTTAATTTGGTTATAAAAGATGGCAATACAAATGCTATTTCTATAAGACTTATCCTGTATCTATTGTAAGTTATTTTAATTACTTCAAAGTATCCCAAATAAAAATGAAATAGTCCTACTTCACACACTGTATTTAATATACTATACAAAATACCAAAATAATTCGTGTGAACTGCAAGTTAGGCTTCTTCCGAACTGATAATTTCAGATTTTTTTCTGGATTATAAATTAACTTTAAAACATATTTTATGCACTAACTACTTACTGAAAGCTTCATTTATTATTTCCATTATTTCCCAAGTTTAACCCCACCTCCCACAATTAATTACACCAAAATGAAGACATTATCCTCAAGACCGTCATCTTGAAATTACATTAATGTTTCTATTTGTTCTTGTGTGCATCCCATCAATTTCAAGGACAGAACACTGCAAGAGCACAGATATCAGTGCTAGGCATCTAGGTCCCAAAAGTTGCCAATACAGGCAGTCCCCAGGTTACGTACAAGATAGGGACTGTAGGTTTGTTCTTAAGTTGAATTTGTATGTAAATCGGAACTGGTACATATTGTAGGGGAAACTCTAGCCAAACATTTCTCCAGAGCTCAGTTTTATTCTCCCACACCTCACTTCCCTCAGTCCTTTATTCGCAAGCTGAGGTGTCTGCTGAGAAAAACTGCTCCGCGTCTCCCTGGTCTGCTGGGGGGAAGCAGCTAGTGCGGGGTTGCCTCACCCCGTTTGTAAGTAGGGATGCGATGTAAGTCGGATCCATGTAACCCGGGGACTGCCTGTACTGCAAACATTTGTTACCAGATGTAGCACTGACTACTGTGAATAGTTACCATGACTAACAGTAACAACTTTGGGACAGAAATATAATTTGCATATATACAGATATTCACATTTATGGCATGGATTTAACAAACATGTGTTTATACATGTGAAAGATACTAAATATAAAAAACTGAAGGCAATTTACCCTAATGTATACACAACAAATAGATTGATATAGCTGCCTGAAACAAGCTACCTTATTAGCAGGTGCTGATCTTGCCCGAAATTAAGTGAGTTCTGCTGAATCATGGTAGGTCTACACTTCAGTTAGACACCCACAACTGGTTCGAGCTAGCTGACTTGAGAGGGGTTGTTTAATTGAAGTGCAGATGTTCCATTTGGGGAAACAGCCTGAACTCTAGGACTCTCCCTTCTCGTTGGGTCCTTGAGCCCAAACATCAACAGTGCAAATAAACAGCCCCTCAGCCCAAGCTCTGAAAGCCTGAGCTATGCAAGCTGTGTCAGTTGGCATGGACAACCACAGGTTTTTAATTGAATCGCAGACATACTCTCAATGGAGAAGGTGGCTTATTACCTCACCCGGATATAAAGAGAGGGTTAAGGAATCCAAATGAAGAACCTGTAGATTAAACTATGCCCAAAAAGAAGTATTGAGCTGAACTTTTTCCTTTTATTTATCAATAAAACTGAACTACAAGATGAGGGTGAGTTGGAATTACAAATGGGAGGTATTACTGTGTTATATAGTGGGAAAGGTACTTGTTCAGAATATTATTTAATGTAAGTTTATATCCCATAGATATGTAAAAATACACATTGTAAAGTATTAGGATGTAGTTAATTTAGGAGCCAATCTTGCATGCCTTTATTAAGGCAAAGCTCATTAATTTTGTCAGAAGTTTTCATTGCCTAATATCATTTGCAGGTAAGAATACATTACCTAAATATGTCTATATTACAGGCATTGATAAATATATTGCAGTTTAGTAGCTACTAGCAAAGTAAACTGAATATAAGTCAATTTTTAACTAGTACTTCAAAAGCTATGGTCATAAAAATTAAACCAAGAACTGATGCATATGTGGACTGTAGTCTGATTTTATTCTTAGTCAGATTTTAGATAACTGCAAACAAATGACATTTGAGTTTGCAAATATATTTCAACTGTTTTTTAATTAACCACACACACACACAATCATTTCTAATACATACGGTTAATGCAAATTTATATTGTTCTCATAGTTGTGTTTAGTTAAAGCCAATTAAAACATTAAGAAATTTAGAAACAAAACATGCTTTTCATTAGTCATTCAAGAGTATGATGCTTACAAAACTAAGCCTCAAAATACTGGTCTTGAACAAATTACTAGCAATGTGTTTTTAGAAAGTTCACTAAAAAGCAAGTCTTTATCAGATCAATCAAAACATATTTTGAAATTACTGTAAAAGCTCACATTACTAGATATAAATATAATGCCATTTATACTTATATTTGACTTAAAAGCAGCTTATCACTAAATGGCATAAGTCATCAAGGAACAAAATACATAGATGAATCCTAAAACAGAAAGCAGATCAATGTACTAAGCTTACTAGATTTATCAATGTTACCTCATAGAGCAGACAGCCTAGAGACCAGATGTCAGATTTGAAGTTGTATCCATTTTCGTGTATTCTCTCTGGAGACATGTAATAAGGTGTACCCACTGCAATAAAACGCAGAAGTATTTTTAAATGAAAACTATTGCTACACTGAAATCTATACCACTATAAATACTGTAATATACAAAATGGAAAATTATTCTTTATCTTGTATATAAATTATGCATAACAATAAAAATATATTTTTAATGTGATGATGCATGTGATAGTTAAAACACACAAAACATACATGTATATTTGATCAAAAATGTTGCTATTTTAAGGGAAATGTTTTATTTTTAATTATTACTAATTTTTTTGTAACTGAAAAAAGCCCTATCAAAGTGGCTGTTTTAAGAAACAACAAAAATTCCAAACTGAACTTTCTGAAGAGAGATTTGGAAGAATTCTTTAAAAACTTTAGCTCGTCAATAAATTATTTCTTAAAAAAATATTTTAAACCTCAATGCTGACTGATGAGTATTAACCAAGCACAATGTTTAAAAAAAATACAGGCAATAGAATTTTTTTGATGTATCAACTTATTTTTACCTCCCAACTCCACTGCAATTTTTGGGAGGAGGGGAGAGAAGACAGTAAATTAATGTAATCAGACTTTGACAATGGAAACAAAGGCAGCCTCTCATTTTTATTTGAATTTTGTTGGGTATGACAAAGTAGTTACTCTTTCTAAGCAATGTGTACTGAATAGGAATGAACTGAATATAATAAAATACTGAATATTATAAATTAGAAGAGACGTAAATCAGTACATTAACTAAAAACAAATGGCAACATTAGTTTTAAAAACATTAGCGATTACAAGCCCAGCCAATTTTATAGACTATAAAACATTAAGAAAAATTTTATTCACTGTTGCCTTTCAGAACTAGAGGTTGAGATAAATTCCCATATGAATTTGGCAGTGGGGGCAGATACCCAGTTTGGATAACCAAAATCTGTCTTTATATTGAAAAGGCAAGATGTTTCCTATCTGTAGAAAAAGCCAATTGGTTAATATTTCATTTAATTATTTCCCCAAATGTGCTGTTTTATTTTGTTATTTGCATCATAATATACAACATATTTTGTAAGGCTTGAGGAATCCCAGAAGTATTAACAGTTTTTCAGAAATAGATAAGATATTTCTATATTTCCATGGATGAAAAGTCTAATTCTCATATGAGAGATACTGTATCATCACAATCAGTCCAGGCTTGCTGCTAGTAGTTTATAGTTTTGACTAGAATAGAAATCTAACTGCGGGTACAGCATTGATAACTCCATTCCAGATGAGTGGAGCCTCAGAACAAAATCTTTTTTTCCAGATATGGAGATACATGGGCCATATATTTTATCACAAAGAGGATCTGGCCCTCTAAGCATTTATGAAGAGACAGATGTCACTTTCCGAAAAGGAAGGTATCTGCTCACACTACACAAATTCTCTCTCTCAGCATTGGCCTGAGTGAGGGATAATCACATGAAAGCAAGTTCAGGTGGAAAAGAGCATCTCAAAATGACAGAATACTGTGAGAAAGCCATCTATTCTCTCGGTATATTCATATTTACTCATAACCAAGAAGGGATGGTATCCTTCCTATGAATGGGAAGATTGGGATTGGGGGCAGGGGGGGAGAACGGTTTGCAGACACCAAATTTGATAACACAGTCAGAAGAATAATTAATAGGGGGAAAGAATAGTTTATTTAAAGTTTTAACCTGTTATACCACCTTAACTTCTCAATAATAATATTTTTACAATAGGTAAGTTTAATGATAGTATTCAGACAATGTAAGTACTTCATATGACATAATGCCATCTATACTTATGTGTGTGTTTGACACTATTTCTTATTCTGATGTATAATTTAAAATTGCCAATTTAAAAAAGCTGTCAGAAAAACTCAAAATTGTAATTACACAAAAAATTTGGCTTCATATACCACAGCAGATTTCATTCTTTCATTATCCTTTTTGTACAACTGTTAGATTATATCTGAGCTCAAGATTTCCAGAGAAAACAATTCCTTCAAAACTTCCATTCTTTGCACCTATTAATAAATATGATGATTACATATTAAATGCAACAGAATGTGCATCAGAACAAGGAAAACAAGTTTAATAGTAATCCGGTTGTAACAGGGTACATATCTACAGCTTTTGTTGCTCTAAAACATAAAACATGTAACTGGCAGTGAGAAATGTGCCAGGAAGACGCTTCACAGAATCCGCAGGGGGTTGCTGAAAACACTGAGGTTTGAAGGTTCAGAGTTTACCAAAAGCAAAAGGTAATTTTAACCAGTAGCTCTGGGAAGTCTGCTGATACGTTAGGGGGTTTGATTTAAGTGTGAAAGATTGATGATAGGGAAAAAGAACAAATGCTAGCATTTTACAGAGTTTAGCCTAGTCTAACACCTTAACTGCAACACAAACTGAAGCCTCCAATGACCGACAAGTGAAACAAAGCCAAGATATTATTATAGTATTAAGTCTTCCTCAGGAATTCATAGAAACCACCTAAAGAAGTTGAAAATAGTTGTACCCTTTTACAATTAGTTTTTAGCACAACACAAACAGAAAATAAATGCATTATCTTGACACTTTAAGCACTGAATGCATTATAGCATAATCTAAAAAATAAGAATACTGAGATTTTTCTAATGTGCTGCTAGTAAACAAATGGATTTAATTAAAATCATGTTTTCTTCCTAAGTAATTGCTTATGTAGTTAAAAGATATTTTCATCAAGAACAACCCTATGAAGAAACATTCTTTTCTAGCATCCTCTCTTCTATTTTTGAAGAAAGTAATGAGCTATTACATAAAACAGACCTACACTTGAAAAATTATAAAATCCATTAAGTTTACAGTTCTATTTAGTTAAAGCATTTTTAAAATTGGGGAAATCTTTTAGTAAGGTCTATTGCTATTAATAAATATTGATGAAATAGCTGATATTGGACTTAGTTAATAAAGAATTAAGGGAATAATATAATTAATGCCAATCAACGTGAATTTCCAGGAAATATATCTTGTCAAATTAACCTATCTATTTTTTTATAAGATTATCGGTTTGGCTGAAAAAGGGTAATATGGCTGAATAATAGACTTCTGTAAGGGAATTGACTTGATTCCAAACTACATTTTGATTGAGACACTAGAATGATACAAAAATCAACGTAACACGCATGAAAAGGATTAAAAATTGGATAACTGAAAGGTCTCAAAACATAACTGTAACATAGAATCATTATTACATGGGTATGTTTCTATTGGTGTCCCACAGATATCTTGGCACTGTGCTATTTAAAATTTTAAATGATCTGGAAGCTGACAAAGATAACAAAGACTGGGGAAATGGTTAATAACGAAGAGGAGAAGACAATGACACAATCTGAATCATTTGCAACGCTGTGTGCAAACAAACGGTATAGATTTAAAACACATCCAAATGTAGTCTTAAATCCAGGAACAAAAACAGTAGGCCTTACTTACAGTGGGGGAAGTAGTGGCTGAAAACAGTCTCAGGGTTATGGTGGCTAATCACCTGAGCCTGTTCTCCAAAACCCAATGTTCTCTCCAAAAGGGCTAATGAAATCCTTCTATGGGTAAACGGGAATTTTGATAGGAGTAGACAGGTTATTTTACTTCCATATTTGATACTGGTACAGCTGCTACTAAATACTGGGTTCCATTCCGGTGTGTGCAACATCCAAAGGATGTTGTAAAATTGGAAAAGCTTCAAAGAAAAGCCATGAGAATAAGTAAAAGATTGGAAAACAGGTATTATAGCGATAGACTCAAGGAACTCAATCCATTTAACGTATTAAAGGTGTCTTGATTAAAGTTTGTAAATACAGTAAATACATGGGGAATAGAAATCTGGTAATAGAGGGTATTTCTGTCTAGCAAACAGACATGTAAAAAGATCCAATGACTGGAAGTTGAAGCTAGACAAATTCAGATTAGGAAAAAAAGCACACATTTTTAAAAATAAGAGAAATTAACAACTGGAACAATTTCTATATACTCTATTAAGATGTCTGAAGTTTGAGTAAGACAAAGGCGATGTTGTAGGGCAGGGAATAGTATTTTAAAATTTTGTACCTACAGTTCAGTCTCCTTTGTTTGAAGATACACCCACTTTCCACATTGACACTAGGCGCTCACATGGCACCAGACAATAACCTGGCATCAGTTATTAACTCCATCTCTCAATTGGACGATACATAATGTTTCTCGACCAGTGGCATGAGTACCCTTAGGGATATTCGATAGAAGACTCGGGGGTACAACAACAACTGAAATTTGGAGAAAACTCAATTTTTGTTTTAAGTTTTACAGGCTTTATTATATTTGTACTTTTTATACCCAAAAATTTCATCACCCACGCAGCTACGATTAAGTTGTTCAAGCAAAAGTGTTGCAATGGTGTAAAAAATGGTGTGTTTCTGAAAACTGTAGGTACTGGGGGTACTTATAATTTTATTTAAAAGGGTACTTTATAAAAAAAGGTTAAGAAACAACAGCAACCCGATATTCCTATGTAACTTACAAAACTAGAATAAAAACAGACAACAGAAGCATTTCTCCTCAGCAACGAAGGCTACCATAAGCACATAAAATGTGTCCTCCACTCCATTCATAGCTTCTCAAAGTATTTCAAGTCTTGTTCAAGGTCAGTTACTTCTACTTGTATATTATTGCAGCACTTATGAATCTTAAGCATGGACCAGTACGTCACTTTGCTAAGCAATGTACAAACAGAACAAAAAGATGGCCTCTCCCGCAAGGTGTTTATAATTTAAGTATTAGGTAAGAGGTAGCAGATGGCTAGAGACAGATATATGGGGAACTACCAGGAAACAATGATATAATGTTGGTCACCATGACAGACAGAGGTCTCAGCACACCAGAGACAATCTTTATTAAGACTTTTCTAGGCATCCTAGTAAAAGAACACTTGAGGGATTTGAAAGAGGGTGATGACAAGGTAACTTTGAGGGGGTTATCTAGATGTTAACTAGACTACAAGTTTTTGTTGGAAAAAGGTATGCAAAAT